GACGCCGAGCCCGCCCTGAGTGCGGAAGAAGTGGCCGAGCGGCTGGAGCTGGGTGGGGAGGCGCCCCCAGCGGGGCTGCTGGAGGACGGTGAAGCGGGGGGAGGGAGAGCCCTGCCGGCGGCGGCTGCCCAGGCTCCGGACTCGGGGAGAGCGAGCGAGAAGTAGGAGCAGGCGGAGGAGGAGAGAAAGGAGAAGGAAAGGAAGGAGGAGGAAGGGGAGGAGGAGGAGAGGAGCTGGGGAGGCGCTCCGGTCGCCGTCAGTGGGCAGCGGAGACGCGGCATGCCCCTGGCGGGGGAGAGCGGGCTGTCCTCAGCAGGGCCATGGGGACCCGCGCTGTGACAATGCCTGGGTGAGAGGAGCAGCGCCAGCCAGCCCGCCACCTCCGCCAGCATCACCTCCTGCACTCAGCTCACCGCCGGCCACCAGCCCCAGCCTCCTCCGACTGCCTCTCCGTCTCCCTGTTTCTCCCTCTCTCTCTCTCCCCTTTCTCTCTCTCTCTCCATTATTGTTTTCCACTGTACAGAGGATGGGGTCGGCTTGTGATTAGGTCGGGAGCAAGTCAGATCTTCCTCCAAAGCCCGGTAATATTTATGTAGGCAAAGAGAGAGAACAGAGAGAGAGGGAGAGAGAGGGAGGGGGAGAGAGAGAACCGGGAGGAGGGGATAAGGAAATTAAACCCTTTAAGTCCATGCATATTGTGACGGCGGCACAGGAGCCCTCACGGTGGAGTCGGCCAGGGCTGTGCGTTCCCAAAATATGACCAGGGGTGCTTGGATGTGTCGGCAGTATGACGACGGCTTAAAAATCTGGTTGGCAGCACCCCGGGAGAACGAGAAACCGTTCATCGATTCGGAGAGGGCTCAGAAATGGCGACTGTCTCTGGCATCTCTCTTGTTCTTCACAGTCCTGCTCTCTGATCACTTGTGGTTCTGCGCCGAGGCCAAGCTGACCCGGACCCGCGACAAGGAGCAGCAGCAGCATCGGCAGCGGCGGCAGCAGCAGCAGCAGCAGCAGCGGCACCGACAGCACGAGCCCTCCTGGCCCGCGCTCCTGGCGAGCATGGGGGAGCCCTCGCCCGCCGCCCAGGCACACAGACTCCTCTCCGCCTCCTCGTCCCCCACGCTGCCCCCCTCCCCGGGAGACGGCGGCGGCGGCGGCGGCGGCAAGGGCAACCGAGGCAAAAACAACCGGAGCAAGGCGCTTTTTCTAGGAAACTCTGCCAAACCCGTGTGGCGCCTGGAGACTTGTTACCCCCAGGGCGCCTCCTCGGGCCAGTGCTTCACGGTGGAGAGCGCGGACGCCGTGTGCGCCAGGAACTGGAGTCGGGGGGTGGCGGCCGCGGGGGAGGAGCAGCCGGTGAGGGGGACGCATCCAGCTCCGCTCTGGAACTTGTCGGATTTTTACCTTTCGTTTTGTAATTCCTACACACTTTGGGAGTTGTTCTCGGGGTTGTCCAGTCCCAGCACTTTGAACTGTAGTCTGGATGTGGTGCTCAAGGAGGGCGGCGAGATGACCACTTGCAGGCAGTGCGTCGAGGCTTACCAAGACTACGACCACCACGCTCAGGAGAAATACGAAGAGTTTGAGAGTGTGCTCCATAAATACTTACAGTCGGAGGAGTACTCGGTGAAATCGTGTCCTGAGGACTGTAAGGTAGGAACAGTGGATTTCCCCCACTCCCTTCTTGCGCTGTTCTGTCTTGTGTGTGTTTGGCTGAGATGTCTTGTAGAGTTTTAAAAGAGTTTTTTTTTTTGTTTTCTTTCCTTTCCTGCTGGTTTGGTTACTTCTCTTGTTGCTTTTGTAGTAAGGGCTTGACTTGCTGCTTGAGTTGGGAATACCTCAAGGATTGCTTGTGGCCCGGTGCCTTCTTCTGGGAGTCCTTGGAAGCTCAGGGAAGACCCTGGTGTTCTGAGATCATAAAGCTGATGCTTTAACTCTTGTGGCTGTGCGATTGGTTCAAACTCTGTTCCCCTTTTTAAAAAAAGAAAAATGGAATTTGAATGCAGCTTGCTGGGAAGACAGACATGGGACTGCATCCTGGTGACCCCAGATAAATCCAGAGTCGGTGACAGGCATGTGTGGTTTGGCTTATGGACCTGCACCCATGATCTCTCTCATAGTGACATCATTAAGTTGGTTGACCAGAGGGACAATAGACAGTGTTTGTAGTTGTTTATGTAGGAAGAACGGAAAAGAGTTTTGCCTGTTTTACAGGGGTAATTCTGGTTGTTTGCAAAGTATGGAGGCCTACTTATTTATTCACCAGAAGTTTCCTGTTTTCTCTTAGACATGTTTGTATAATGATTGATCTGAGACTCACTATGAGTAGAAAGTTTTAATTAAATATCTGGTGATCGATGATCAGTGTTAACTTATTTATCAGACACCTTATGTAATTAGCTTTAATTTCCAGGATGCTCTTCACAACGTCTAAATGGCAAGTGCTAGATGCTGTGAATGAAAAATACTGATCTCCTTAATCATGTGTATTATATTCAGCCTCTTCCTGTTGAATATAATGATGGATATAATCCTTGCTGATCGACAAAGGAGAAGAGAATGCCAAGTTTCTCAAGAAATGGTCAAAGTAATCATGGGTGCTTATGCTAGTAGAAGTGTCCCTGTCCGTGGTGCTGAAATGAGATTTGCTTGACAGCTCTGTTGAAGATACTGCAGTGATCTCTTAGTAGGGAAGAAATGATGACAGAATTTCAATGAGCCTTTATGTTTCATTCCAAGGGTAATTCTTAACACAACAAAACAGTATTGCTTTTCAAAATAAATAATACACCACATTCTCTTCCTTTCTCCTCACTACTCCCCCAACCCCACACAGGGACCGAACAACTGTCTTCTGCCTCACTTACTTTGTACTGGGGAAGTGTCATCAAGGGTGGTGTGGATCAAAGGTTTTTGTGATACTTTGACAAGAAAACTGGGCTAAGAGATACCTGTTTAAAATGAACATAGTTCAAGGGCTTTTTTTTTTTTTTTACTTTGGATTGATTGTGCTTTTGACAATTAAGCTAAACTCAAAGTAAACTTGCTTTGTCAACATTCTTTAAAAGACCAGAAACAGATCTTCTTTGCAAATAGTAATGTTGAGTTTACAACATTAGCTTGGAATGCTACTTCACTAGATAAATGGCTCTTAAACTTTCTACCTATTTTTCTTAACCACCATGATAATTCATGCCTGGGGATCAAAATTATTCTTAATGGCAGAAGTTGGTGAATGACTAGCACATTTATTGCATAGTTGTTTATTTTGACAAGATATGTTGCATCAGAATTGTAAAGATAAGAACACTAATTCCACTACTAATGAAAAAGGTGCAAGGGCTTTAGTATAGTTAGGTTTAAAAGTGGTACCTTGTAATAATATGAATTTGCTTGCTTCCCTGAATGCAAACTTTTATAGAAATTTCTAGTAATTCCAATTTGCATAGGTTCAGTATTTAAAAGATAGTTTTCATTGTCAATAGACTGCAGCATATTTTCAAATAAACATGTCAAATATATCTTTGTTCAAATATCCAGATTTTAAATATATATAAATGTTTATTTTCTCCTTGACCTGAACAAAATCCCAACTTGATATTTATATTATCATAGTAAGGTATAGTGTAGGTTAAACTAATTTGTCATGTTGTAAAGTACTTCTGGATTGTGTTTCTGTATAAAAGAGTCATAATTACCTGTATACACAAAAGTGTATCATAAAAATATTAATTGCTTCTTAGGAGGATTTCTTCCTCACATGGAAAAGTAAATACAGACATTTGAGTTTTTCATTACCACAACACAGAATTTATTACCCATGATGTCTTGTAGCTATGTCTTGGTTGTGTGATTTCAGTTAGATTTGTTAATTTGACATATTTATCCCACAATAACTGTTTTCAAAAATTACAGTTTCAATTCTAAGGTGTCAGTGTTTTTGGGCTAATAACTCACAAGTTGAGTGCTTAGTTTCTTAGTTTAACATATGATTTCTTTATGGTTCTGCAAAAGTCACAAACATATCCACATGCAAATTATATTACATGGCTTAACATGCTACCTGTACACATTTGAAGGATGTGTATGAGTTCTTTCTAAACATACTGATTTCAAACATACTTATAATTATGAAAAGGGGACTATCATCAGGGGCCTTGTTCTAAATATACATTCCATGCAAAATTTTCCAAATTTTAAGGTAGCCACAAAGTCCTAGGCTACATTAAAAGTAAATGCATTATATTTCTGGGATTGGTAATATATTCATGAAAAAGATCCAATTTTGATAGTTTATAAATATATTTATAGAATTATAGACAGAATATATTTAATCATATTAGCTAAACAAACTATTAGAATTCATATTTTAGGAGACATATATTTTTATTATACCCATATATAATCAAATGATTAATGCTATGATTTCTAACTTTTAAAAGTTAGGGCATGTATTATTATTACCTTCTAATTTTATATTCTTCACTCCATTAAGAAAAATGCCACATAGCATATATGTATAAAATTAAAATAGATCAAATTTAATTTTTATTTAACTTTTTAAAAAGGCTTTTTTGGCCCATTATGCTGGAAAAAAAAAAAGCTCTTAATATTGATCTAATACAATCATAATGTCTTGAGTCCGAAGTAATTGAGATCAAATACAACTTAGATTTACTTTAACAAACCTTTGTATTACAACATATACTAGAAATAATTTGTATCCAAGAATATTTCCTAATATTCTAAGAAATAACTGGTTTAATTTTTTAAAAGAAAATATGCACATTTATCTAGGAAGTGATTTATGAAAAAATAAACAACAAAACCTTGCATGTATCATTTATATTATAGCATTCAAGCTGCTATATTACATAAATCAGGTAGCAAGAATTATGACAGTAATTCTCTGTAGTTTACAGTGTTATTCAAAATAATGTTTTTGATATATGCTTAATAAGAGTCTAACAAATCTGTAAAAAACTTCAAGTTGGGTGGTATTATTAAAAAATACACTATTCTAAAAAAAAGAGTACACTAGTCTAAGATATAAAATTACATATGCATATTATTAACATGCTGGATTTTTTAACGTAAAGATTTTCTGTTAAATATGCCATTCTTTAGCTCCTAAGCATTCTTGAAAATGTGTATTATAAAAACTTGTGATACTTAGGAAATATAAATTTCTGTGTGAACAGGTGAACTTCTGTTACTGCTAACTTTATTTATTTAGTATACCTTTAGACAGATGGTCAGTGAAAGCAGATTTGAGATTAGATTCTAACATAAATCGTTACGTCATCTGTATTTTAGTTCTGTCAGCACAAAGTCTAATCTTTATACTCTCATGAACATATGCATTCTCATATTTTAATTTTTATAATCTCATATTAAAGCAGATTCTCTTGCTTATTTTTATTTAACAATCACTGACCAAAGAGATAACCCTGCCGGTGTTAGGCGTATACAACAGTTGTGATACCTGAAGCTTTCTGTATTGTTTGCAGGAAACACAAACAGTAACCAGTTTGATAACATAGAATTTAGATTACATAATGTGCAGTTTGAAAACAAGGCATTTCTTAGATTCTTATTTATTTTGGTGTCATGCACTATATAGATTCTTAAAAAATAGTTTTTTTTTTTTTAAAGAAAAATATCTAACAGTTCTTTCCACTAAAATATTATTTTGCTGTTGATGGAGTACTATTGTAAGTATTATGACACTGTCCAGAACTGTGGAATACATCTGCAAATACAGCTCTTTTATATTCTACCACTTTATTATTTTCAAATCTGCAAAATCAAACAGTCTAACCTTGCAGATGATCACTTTTGCCATTAATAAGGCCATTTATAAGGTCAAAGCCACGATCATAGTCATTTTTATGACCCAGATTTTTTCTTTATTATATTTTTGCTCTATATGTGACTACTGATTTATGATTTGTGTTTTATTTTTATAAGGAAACACCCCAAATTTTATCTTAATATTAGATGCCTGTTGTTTTATAGACTAAAGAATGAATATTTTTACTTTGAACTTGTAACTGGGTCAAATTAGTAGCTATATAGGGCATAACCACAAAGTTTCAATAATTGCTGTTATACATTGGTTTAATCACTTTAATTAGGTGAAGATGGTGACTGCATATGCAAGGTGAATTAAAATATGAAGGAAAGGAGATCAAGCAATGCTTTCAGCCTCATGCTCCCCCACATATAAATCATAATACATTAAGATATCTTTTCTTGCTAGATTCAATATGCAAGAACAAATATACAGATAGCTATTTCAAACAAGGGAATGTTCTGGTTTGAATTGTCTGACCTATTGCTTTAATTTCAAGTCCTAGTTTCCTGCTTAATCTTCATCTTGTATATCAACATCACATTAATTCAGCACCAAACATTTTTGTTGTTTATTTTATATTGATTTATACTGCAAAGATGTTTCTTCAATATCAGTAAACATTTAGTCTAGATCAATGGTCCTTGGGGTCACACTGGATTATCCTGGGGGATCTTTGAAGAAGCCCCCTAGCCCTGAAAGAGATTCTGATTTCATTGATCTGGTTTGTGTCATGGGCTTGGGATGTCCAGTTTCCCTGGTGACTCATGTGTGTGGCAGAGGTTGAGAACCACTGTTC